CCAGTATCTGGTGATCCTCCACTGCACCATTCTTGACATAGTCTTTTTGATTTATATATAACAAACGGTGGTAAAAGATAACCAGTTGCCGAGGCACAAAACATTAAGCTTGTATAAGCTTTTCCACCAGTACCATCTTGACTTCGAAAAGCATTGTGTGTTTGTCGACGAACCAGTACTTTAGAATAACTAATACAGTCAGACATACCTAAAATATAATTTGAATAAATTAACTGTTCTAAAAATAAATATTTGCACACATATGTGGATGAAGCCCTATACCTGTTTCATCACAGTTGAACACTTGTCCTGGACGATCTACTAAGTTATTATCTTGGATGATTTTATATAACAAATTGAACCAACCATCTACTTGTTCCATTGTTATTGATGCTCTTTTTTTTTCTAATGGACACGACTTTTTCAAAACAAAATTTTGATGTCGCTTTAGAAAAGATCGTAAAACCAATCGTATGTTGCGGCTCCTGATGGAAATAGTTGACTTTTATCCAGAGAAGCAGCGTACTGTTTAGCAAGATCTAAAAACTCGTCGATTGTTAAAGATCGCCCCCATTCCTTAAAATAAAAAAATGTTTCCAAATGTTTATGACTTAAAGAAGTCCTACCTGTAGAATAAGAGTTGCCTGTTCAAGATATTCTTCTTCTAATTTCGTAAATTTCGTTGGACGACCAACTTCTTCATATAAAACCAAAGTATTGACATGAGAATTCAACGTGGTGTAAGGAACATTGAAAGTATTTGCAGCATCACGTATAGAACATCCACTTGCTACTGATTCAAGAGCTAGTTTAAAATCACCGTTGGCATAATTTTTCTTCACACTTTTTTTACATATTTTCGTGCCATCTCAAATTATTACTTTTTCAACTAAGTATCATTAACAAAAAAAAAAGAAAAATAAGTTGAATACAATTATATTAATCAATGCTCGTACATATATATATGCGATACAATGAACAGAACGACAAAAAAGGAACACGCATATCAAGAACAATACATTCTCCTTTGCTCGTTAAATTCAATGAACAAAAACAGAACAAGACAGGCATAATAGAAAACACAAATACATCAAGTGAACCATCGTAGAAAGATTGTCCATAGTTTTGCTTGAATTAGTATATTAACTATTCGCATCACGAAAAAATATTTCACAGTTTATGATATCTCGTTTTAGTATTGTAAATAAAACGATACAGTGTATAATAATTAATCCTCTGAATGATATATTAACTATCAGAAGAATCGTTAATATACAACTAAAACTAATTATATCCATACAAAATTCACTATTAACTACAAAAACTCGTTTCAGAATAACAATTCAGCAGCCATCATTTCTGATATTATTGTACAGCTCAATATTATTATTCTATAATAATCATTGAGATCTTTATCTATTCATATTATTTCTAGTTCAAAACATTCTATGTATGAAATACTAAAATCTTTCTCTTTTAGACCTTGAATTTCGTCTCAAGTATTACAAGAAGAAACGTGAAGATATATGCCAGAAGTTACTTTTTTTTAGCAATTTAATGAATTAGAAAGATGCCACATACATCTCATACAATGATAGATGATTTTTCGTGAGAAGATAGAGAAAAGTGAGCTGAACACCTTTTCTAAGATGAGTATTAGTCAACAATGAATCGTAAAAGTGCTAGAGGTTTTATAATCTATCTCCAGCTAAAATTGCTGGGATGATTCGAATTACCCTAGGTAAAATTGCTTAGGTGATCCGAATTACCCCAGATAGATTTTTTATAAAAAAAGACATGCCTGATAGAGGTGTCATTGTGAATATTATTGTATGCTCTGTGTGTATTCGTTCATCTTAATATTCTCAGGTCCCATAGAGGGCACTTTAAGCTATCGACTGGTATGTTTTTTTAATATGAAACAATGAATGAAAAATGAATAAGAAGTTGAGAAAATATGTTATCGGCATTTTTGCTGGAATGATCCGAATTACCCCAACTGGAGTAATTCGGATCAACAACGACCCCGTCGCGCCATTTTCGCTGATACTTTTTTCTGGTAAAAGATATTGAGGAGACTCTTTCGTCAGTCGATAGAAAACACTTTGATCTAGTTGTGATAAAAAAAATCACCTTTCTATCGCGTAAAACGGAGGAGAATGAAACAAAAGAAAAGCAATTTTTGAAATTTTGATCCGAATTACCCCATACGACTCTATCTATGATTCAACGTATTTCTTTCTTCATTTTTTCTTATTTTTTTTAATCTTCTTAATTGTTATTATTGCTTCAGATTGTTTTTTTTTAATATAAACTTATATATGAATGACCAAAAGAAAAATTTCTTTTTCTTTTGCCTTCATTAATTTGATATGAATAATGAAATAGTTAAATTATTTATTATTATATTTATTTATTCAATATCTATCCAATGATAATAATATTACAAGAAAAAAAAACAGCAAAATATCATATATCTATATCTTTTTTT